TTGTATCTTCACAGTGGATAGCTTTATATTTACTCAGTGATAAATCCACAGATTTTTCTTGATCTCGAGACAAAACATTTGAGTTTCTTTCATTTGTATCTTCTTGAAGATTTTCACATCCTACAATCAAAGTCTTCAGGTGCTTGTCAGGCCCTTTAGTTTCCACAGAGCTTTGATCCTCAGAAGACAGAACAGGAATTATGGATAAGTCACGTGAAGCAGACAAGGTAACTTCATCCTCATTATCTTTACTTAGTTCTTCTTGCCTGGTTGCCTTTGTGTTAAACAACAGTGTTGCTGTATCAATGGTTTCTTCTGTTCCAGTAGTTTCTAAAGTTTCCTGTGTATATTCTTTTCTCTGTTTATTTCTCCGACTAGACCCCAGTTTTTTTCTGCTTCCACTGTAGTTGAAGCCCACCTCAGTTTGCTTATCTGTACTGAGCGAACTGTCCGCGACTGTGGCATCAGCATGATTGTGTTCAATATTCTGTACCTGGCTCCCACCTTTGTCCATATGACCAAGGGCATTGTTTACTCTAACTACACTGCTGGCCAACGTTTCCTTTGAATCACACAGATGGTCATCAGTCGTCGGTACTACAGCCTCTTCATTTCCCTCTGTTGTGAAACACAGATATTGCTGGTTTTCAGTTAGAAGGTCAAGTTTTGTATCAGAATCATCACTTTTCACTGTGAGCTCTGATTGGATACTGCTGGTGATTTCAGCTTGATCAATCATGTCTTCCAAAACAGTTACTTGATATCTAGAAACATTGTGTGCCACGATTTCAGACAAGTTGTCCATTTGCTGACTTTGTTGTATGTCTGTTGGTGGATCTGTATAGTTTTGGGCTTGTTTTATAGTATTATATGAATCTTCAGGACTGTTGCATTTTTGACTCTGTAGCGTCTCAGATGCATCCACCAAAGCATTTCCCTCTGTTTCTGATCTTTCTTGATATTTTGTGAAATATACATTTTCAGAAGTAGAATTTACCAGGCCGTTCTCAGGAAAGCTTTGAATTTCAGATAAATCACCAGGGGTGAACACTGAGCTGTCGTTTAACACCGGTGAGACATCACGCTCTACGTCTTGTCCGAGTTCTTCCTGGTTTACAGTCTTTGATTCTGATAATATTTGTGTTGAAACGAAATTTTGGACTTCCTTGGACTTTTCCTTTACGTCTTCAGATTTTTCATCATGCTGTCTTCCTTCACTACTTTGGCTGTAATCTTTTTTTATATTGTGGCCACTGCTTTCAAAGCTTGTCTTGGTCTGTTCATCTACAGTATCAGGCATCTCCTGAGGCTTGGAGTCAAAATAATCTATTTCTGACTGGATGTTTGATGGAACAACTTTATTTTCCTCCAGCTCACTGGAAAATCCCTTTTTGTCCTTATGAATAACTTGATAAGAGGTGAGTGATTTAATGTGTTGTAATCCGTACTCTTCTCCACCTTTGAACTCTTCAAAATCATTTGAGCCAACTCCTTTTGTGTTTACATCCTTGATTTGGGGTTTATTGGTACAAAAATAAACAGAATCTTGATTTGTCTCATCTTTTGCATCCGAGTAATTACCCATCTCCACTCCCACCACCTCCCTAGGAGCATCCACTGCAACAGCATCTGTTGTGTTCTTGTTGCAAAGAGTGTCAATTTCCTCCACTCCTCGCTGTGAGACTTTCACTGTATTTTTGCTGTCTAACCTGTTTTCATAATGATGTTCCTGAAGATTTTCACATTTCACTATCAAACCCTGCAAATCAGTTTCGGGAATCCTTGGTTCATTATCTTGGCTTAGTTCTTCCTTTAACATTGAAGCTGTTTCCTGTATTTGATCACCTCCTGTACTATCAAACACTTCAGTTGTAGGCTCTTTAACTTGTTGCCTTCCTTTTTTTCTCCGGCTCGAGCCCAGTTTTCTTCTGCTCACATCAGTTTGCTTATCTGTGCTCAGAGAATTGTCCTGAAGTTGCGGGTGAGCAGAATTGTTTTTGGGATCTTCCAAACAGACTCTGCCTTCTCCCATCTGACCATAAACAATGTAATCCATTTGTTGAGGTTCTTGTCCCTGCGTTTGCAGGGCCTTGTGCACTTGACCTTGTCTCTCATTATCTTCTGAATAAGGAACTTCACCTTCCTTGGTTTGGTAAATCCCAGATTTGCTCTTAAAGGTGCCAGACTGACATTCTGAGGTATCCTCCCATTTTTTGTCAGGAAACTCCATATTCATTTCAGTTTCAGATTTATACTGATGTTCTGGGATTTTAACACCCTCTGGAATCAAAACCTCTTCATTTTCTGTATAAATATTTGCCTCAGAGCTCATTTTCTCTTTATCTAACATGTGTGTGTTTATTTCATAGCTGGATTTTTCTTTGGAGTCTTTTTCTTGTTGCTTTTCTTTAATTTTACGGCTAGACCCCAGTTTCCTTCTGTTGCCACTGCTGTAAAAGGCTTGGTTGGAGCCTTCATTGGATTGTTCATTTACACTTCTAAAAGCTTCTAGAGGCTGGAATTCTAACAAAACAGGGTGTTTCTCCTGGTGAAATATTTGGTCTGTGCTAAGTTTCATATCATCCTCTGTTTCATTTTTGATCTCCTGAAACAGGTTCCTCAGAACATCTTCTGATTGGCAATTTATCATATCCTGACTGTGTAGAGTATAAGATTGATCCACCTCATGCTGTGAGACATCTGAGTTCTCAGTCACTTCAAACAATGCCAGTGGACTAGTTTCGTCTTGACCTTTTTGAGGATTTTCACTTTTCATTATCTGTGAGTTTTTATCAAGATCTTCAGAAGAAATACCTGAGGGCACTAAAGAAAAAGACACCAGGCTTTTTTGTGAAAGAGACATGTTCATGTCAGCAGTGTCAACACTGAGTTCTTCCTGCTCTGTTTCCTTTACTTTTGAAAATACTTGAGGTGCATTGGTCCAAGTGTTTTCATAAGTTTCCTCTTCAGGTTCTTTTGCATGCCATTTTCCTTTATTTCTAAAGCTAGATCCCATTTTTCTTTTTGTTGCATTAAAGCTGAAGTCTGACTCGGCATGCTCATCTGTGGTCTGAGAACTATCCTGTAGTTGGGGCACGGTAGAAGCCTTTAAGTCTGACTCAAGATTTGGAACAAATGATTTGTTCCTTTTATTCTCAGAAAGGGCTTTCTCAATGTGAACCTTTTCTACAATTTGTCTGTTATCTTCCAAAAAACTTCCAGTTCGGTCCATCTGACCTAGAAAAATTTCTTCTGCTGTGTTCGAAATATCCGTTTTGACTGTAGTGCTAACTGGAAGCATACTTTGGCAAGTATCAGATTCAAGTATCTGTTTTTCAGAGTAAGAATGACATTCTTCGTCTTTTAAGGGATCTTCAGCAGAGTTTTCATTTTGATGCTCACTTTGCACTTGTGTCAGGTTATTTTTATGGTAAACATGATCTTCAACCTCATCTGAACACTGGGTGTTGCCATCTTTACTTGTAAGCAACGGCTCTTTTTGCAATGAAAAAGCATCTTGGTTAATGCCATCATTAATTGGGATGTTTTCTCTTTGAGCATTATCTGCAGTTATCTGTGGCGTAATAGGTGTATTAACATTTAATTCGCTTACTGAGAAGTTATCCTGTAGAAACCCATCTGGCCTGAACAAGTCTTGGTACACAAGCTTGATGCTGTTTGACTCTGCCACAGAACAAAGATTGATATCTTGTCCCTGTTCAATCATTTGTTGATTCAATGTCGTATAACTGGTTACCTCAGGGAGATGGTCGTACAGATTTTGGCTGAATTTTTCATTCTGATGAGTGTTAGTACGGTAATCTTCCAGCTTAGTCTCCTCTGTAAAAGGTGTATTGACATCTCTGGAAATCAGAATGTGCCGAGTGTCTTCTGAACAGAGGGCAATTTTATCCCCATCAGTTTTACCATCTGTACCGACCAAGAAAGCCTCCTGTTGTGCAGCCATGCTATGATCACACTCTTGACCTACTTCTTCCAGCTCTTTAGGTTGCTTCGCAGCAGACATTTGTGCATCTGGACATTCACTTCCCCTTGCCTCATCCTGAACATCCTCTCTAGATTCAACATCTAGCCCTGTTTCTGGCTCCTTCACACGCTGCCTTCCTTTGTTTCTTCGACTTGTCCCAAGCTTTCTTCTGTTCATTGTGATATCACGTTTAGGTGGCTTCTCTTTCAACTTTTAAACTGTCAGCATTAGAGAAAATAGTTAATGGTTTTTGACAACTTTCTGATACCTTATACTAAACCAGAGATATTTTTTTTATGACAACCCCCCATTAATGTGAGCTAACCCAACCCTTAAAAAAAGTGCCTTGGGCAGAAAACGTTGTGTAATGCACTGGGGAAATCACGCCCTACAATTATACAAGAGCAAAATAAAGAAAAAGTAATGGATAGCCCATTTTCTCCAGAATATACAATATAAAGGATAAAAAAAAACAACTAACAGAGTGTAGGTACAAACCAAAAACCCTATACAGGCAATGGTAGCAAACAAACTGCAGCATATAGACTGGCAAATAACTAGTTTAAAAGTGTTTAAGACATTTAGTTTGCTTTCTAAAAAAAAAAAAAAGTTATTTTATTGTACTTACCTCCAAAATCTGGAACATCTGTTGACTCATCACAGAAGCTAAACCCCAACATCAACTCATCTACTCTGCTCGACAGGAGTTGCATTTCACACGACGAGGGAGTGTTTAACTAGCGCTGTTTGACAGCTTCCTGTGTGGGCTATACTTGCAATCTTAATCAGCACCATACAGTCACTTCCTGCATTAAATAACATCTAGATTCTACCACAACTTCCAAAATGTTAAATGGAAAAAAAAAATAAAATAAAAAAAACAGACACGCAAGCTTTGAAAAACATTTATTGATGATATTTATCTGCATTGTCAAATTGTTGGAGTTGGTAGTGTAAAGCTGATTGGAAAAAAAACACCATCTTTAGTAACAGATATACAGTAGGTAAAATACAGAAATGCAGATGGGGACATCCTTCAAATAACAGCACCAACATCTGTTAAGTCCCTGTTTCACAGTGATGCAAAGAAAATAGAAATAATGAATAGAATAAAGCAAGCAGAAAAAAAATTATAAATCACAATTTATTTAAACAGTTAAAAGATGTTTTCTACTAAACCAAAGACAGTATTCAGTTTCAAAACATGCAGGACAAGTTCATTTTTGCAGGACAAATTCATCCATGAGAACAATTATACAAAATGGAAAAAAAAAAAAAAGAAAAAAAAAATAATAATAAAATAAAAAAAAAACTACTTCTGCCACAACAGACAAATCAGATAAAAGTAGAACCATCCCGGCCTTTGTTGTTCTTTTAACGGATATCACAAAGCATGACATAGCAACCCACATGGGGCGCTTTTAAAGTTTTAAACAAAATTTAAGAACGAAAAGTGGCACTGTAAAAACGTTCCTCTTCAAAATCTTGATATGACCTTGCAGAGCAATCCAGGATCTTCATTTCCTATCATGAGACCTGGAACGACTATGAAACAAAATCAACTGGTAAATATTTTGCATTGATAATAAAAACAAATGTGTTCAGAGTAAATATGGTGTGATCAAGCATGGGCCAGTATATATATATATTCAAATAGAGCTCTATGAAGAGAATTTTAATAGTTTAGAATTTTTCAACCTTAAACACAATTTACGGTAAACCAGACACCCATTATCGTCTTGGAAATAAATTCTCTCTTAAACAATATTTTTGTGTGTGAAAAAAATAAATGTAACTACTCTTTCAACATTAATTGAGCAATGTCCCACAAACAAAAGTTGGTAACTAGTGTCGGACTTAACTGGAAACTTCCTACCGCTGACTGAGGAGCCCGGCATGAAACACAGAACCAAGGAGAAATCAACTTTATCTGTCCAATTCATTAATAATTGACTTTTGCTTTCATTGCCTGCAGATGAGGCCAAATAAAGTAAGATACGTGTTCAGTCTTAATAATTGTGTGTCACTAAGTCATTTAAATGTGGCAAAGCTGACAAACCAAAGGTTGCTGGCTCACATATGTGCTCATTTCTATTATTTTAACCTCTTTTTCCACCTATGCCAAAAATTATGCCCCGTATATAAAACTGCAGCTTTAGTGCAAAATTAAAAACTTCAGCGGGGTACCGAAGAGTATATCGTTATTCTTGGTTTTCATTGACTAGCTCTAATTTATTAATTCAATAAATATATTTCATGAGTATGACAATCTCATCATAATACTATCTTACAAAGTAGGGGTTTTTGATTGAGAAAAATATGGTCATTAATCTGATTTTAAACTGATAATTCGTATTCTTTGCGTAATAAGAAATTGAAAACGGTAAATATTTGCTTTATGTTTAGTATGAAGGCTTTTTAATTTTACTTACCACAGTGACCTGAAAGCATAGTAACAGTAATGAGATATTACTATTATGGCCAAAAATATTTCCAAACAGCCAAATTAATCTCCTGAACAAAAGATATATCTGGTGGCCATCTTTCAGTCCCTTGGCAAAAGGTGGCCCTTGGCTTTTTAAGCTATTCTCTTATTACAATCAAATAATTTTAAACCATGAAAAGATATACATTTTTTATTTTTAATCAAATAATTTCCAACCAGCCCATGCTTTGATGTGATCTGCTTTAACTGTACCTCCTTGATCTGGAGAAGGATCGTGAACGCTTACGATTCTTGTCTCTGGACAAAGACCGATATCTGCGTCTTTCTCGTGACACAGACCTGAAGGTAAAATAAAAATGTTTGCATTTCATCATATAAATGCATAATTTAAATATAGTTCTTCTTAATCTTACCTGCTGCGACTGCGACTCAGGCTTCTCCTCCTGGGTGATCTATGAAGTGTATTGTGTAAAAACAAAAAAAAAACAAAATTGAAACAAATTCAGAGAAGGCTATACTTTCCATGTCAATACTGAACCCTTTGGGTATTGGATCCCAAGGAGGCATGAGGTAAAAACTGGAGGGTGGGCACCCTTATTTTCCCATTATTTAAAAGGATTGGCTTCATGAACTGCAGCAAAGCCAGCTCATAAACAAAAAATGATTCAAAATGGACCATCATGTAGACATTTCTATGTACAAACCAGATTTTGGGGCTCGACATAAAGACTTCCTTAAGCCACATTAGCCTTCTGATATTTCCACTCAGATCTTACATTACAGTGCACTTCCTGTTTTTAATATTGATGTTTATTCATATGTTGTGAGGCTTAAATTAATAAAAACACAAGTGTGAAAGGATTTGCAGTTTAGAAAAACAACCCAAGATGCCCTGATGTCGAGCCTTTAAAATACACCCATTAGATTTTGCAAGTGAACATTTTGGAACTGCCAATTGTGTTTTAGAAGAGTTTTTTTCTATAAAGACACACTTGATCAAAGAATAGAACTGCTCAGGAGCTTTGAAAGATCCATAAGATATAATAACTACAAAAAGCAGGATAAAAGCAACTTACTATTTTTTGGGGTTTAGACAAGATAGAAATGACGCAAGGAAGCCAGACTGATGGTGAGGGAGGTCGAATTGCAGAGAGGAATTGCCACATGATGCAAATGTTGCACTTAAGAAGTTGCTTGGTGAGTGGTTGGGGGGGGGTGTTGTAGCTGTAGATTTTTTTTCCTGCTTTATTTTGGGGGGAGTGAAGAATACTGACTGATGTAACCCAGCGGCTGTTCCCATTGATACAGCAGATTGTAGAGCATAGAAAGGGTAAAGGAGATGATTGGTTGATAATTTGAAGTGGACCACTGTTGTTCGGATATAGGTCGGAGGACGCAGAGGAGGAGGCTGGGAACTGCATGCTCAGGAACCAAAAGTTTGGTGGGACCTGATGGCTGGCGGTGGCGCCTGGGTCATGTGACAACACCAGCCTCGCTGGTCAGCCATCACATGATGCTGAAAGAAGACTAGTTGACTGACTCAGATGGTGAGAAGCGTGGTGGTGACTCTGCAATGGGGTTCAGTTTTATTAATAAAATGGCAACTGAACTCAAAATAAATAAATAAATAAATAAATAAATACAACTTCAGATACTTATGTTTAAATTATATATGAAAGAAAAAACAGAAAGACAGAAAAAAAAAACAATTTTGGGAGTTATAGACTCCCTTGCAGGCATCTGGATTTGGTACAGCCTTTTTAGGATGGGGAAAACAGGTGGGATAACTAAAAAATACTTTACTTCAATGCAAAACACCATAAAAATGTCCTTTATGCCGAATTTCATATACCTATAGAGAAATAAACATGGCCATATTCACAAAACATCTTTAAATAGAAAAATCTGAAGAATCAAAGAGGTAAGAAATACTCAAAAGGCATTTCCGTTTCTATGTTGCATTTCAAATATATTTTGCTCCACTGCTGAGTCTGCAATGAACAAATAAAACTGGACATCCTTGTTAACTACAGGTCCACAATACGTCTCAATCCTGTGTTTGCTGCCTCACCATGCTCCTACAACCTTTTCCCTCCACAAAGTTCCTTACTTCGGTGTAACCACGCCACTCATGGCAGCATAGGCATGGTTAAATATTAAGAATAGGTATAATACCTTTTCGAATTTGACCTGTTTGTATGCCAGTTCACGTGGATGTAGCATAAGCAACATTAGCAATACGCCACCATTTTTTTTTTACCATTGTTTCCTGGTCTCTTGCAGAATAGGGAAAAAGCTACCCAAACAGCAACCCTTACCAACTGCCTGTAGGGGATAGCAAGGCACCTAATGTTAGCACCCTTTCCAGCACTGACTTCAATATAGAGGAGGACCAAAATGGACTTGGTGGAGAGCATGTTCATGCGGCTTTTCTGGTTTGCTCAACAAAGGTTTTAATTAAAGACCAACACTCATGTTTTAAACGTCAGTTTTCTGGTAGGGCACTGCTTTATTTTGATCTGACAAACTCCAAACAAAAAGCAGTAAAAAAAAAAAAAAAAAAGTGGTTAAATTGAAGACTTTTACAATGAACTCAATCATTTAGATGAAGGCCTTTTTTGCTACAGCTTCTAGGTCAAAAGGCTAAAGCTGCCTTACAGAGGATTCAGAATTTTCGACAAGGCACCACAAGTATGAAAGATTTTGTGAAAATGGCCATGGATTATTTTTTATTATATGTAAAAAAAATTAGATGTCATTTATGATCGCTATCTTAAGCTGGATTGAACTGCGACGATAAATTAAGATAAAAAAGATTTAAGAGCCCTAAACTGGTTCTGTTTCAGTAAATTTAGAGTAACTGAAAGGAGTAGAAAGCATACCTGCGTCTGACTGGGGGACTACGTCGCCTAAAATCATCTCGGGGTCGTCTGCTCCATGATGGAGGAGGGCCGCGGCTCCTGGAGCGCTTCTCTCCAGTCGACAGCTCAACACGCACACGACATCCACACATGGTTCTATGCAGAATAAATACAATATGCATTTACTTATCCACACCTACTTTCAACTCCAAATTACTACGGTCGAAAATGCAAGCTGTACATGTATCAATCTATTCTGTTTAGCTATGATTGAGAATGGGGATGAATAAATAGCCCGTTTTGAACTGCCTTTCAAAAGGTTGGAGCTTTCAAAGCCGGTGTAGCATTCCCATACACATTTACCATATTACTTTCACTTTTTCAGCTCTTAACTTCCTGGGGTTTTATTCTCTCAAGAGACGTAGGACAACTAGAGATTCCCAGGACTTGTTGAAGGGTTGGGTGTTTTGAGCAAGCTATCTTGCAGTGCTTTGTTTCACCAGAAGAGGCAGTAACTGAAGGCTAGTGTACAAAAGGGGTCTTTATATCTTCAATTTGTCACTCAGTTTATCAAAAATTTGCCTACTTTTAGATCACAGGTTAGATGCTAGCAGCCAGCTTGTAAAAATCAGCATAAAATTATTTTATAGTACACACGGTATAAAGGCTTCTGGAAAGCAAATGATTACAAAGTCAAGGTATTAATTCTTTGTTCATTTGGCTTGATTCTATAAATACGATTTTGAATAACTTTTTTTGCTGTAGATATGAAGTTTACCCGGTATTATAATAAAAGAACAAAATAGTATTTTTTCATTTTTTAGCAATCAGTGTACATGAATCACAGCAAAAACTATCAGATGCAGGTTGGTAATCAAAAAAATTCAATGTCCAATGACTAATTACTGTTTTTTTACTGATTACTAATTTACTGGTCAGTACTATAGGTGGTTAAAAATAACAGTAGTGTATTCTTGTTACTGCCACCTGCTGGACTGAAAGTGTAGTGCAGTTCCTCTCAGTCTGACTGTGCTGGAGCTTTAAGGGTAAGATTCCTTTTAATGCAAAAGGGGCTATGAGGCATTTTGATAGACTATGGGTAGTACAGGACCTTATATTAATCCAATATTTAATTCGTTGAAGTTTTTTCCCCAACAATAGAATTATAAATTTACCACTAAAACATTACCTGCCATCCAGTTCTCTTACAGCATCGGTCGCATCTCTAGGATCTTCAAACTCTACAAAAGCAAAACCTGGAGGATTTCTGGCCACCCAAACACTTCTTAAAGGGCCATAATAGCCAAAAGCCCGTTCTAACTCTGTCTTGTTTCCATTGTTTCCTAGATTTCCCACGTAAACCTTGCAGTCTAGAGGGCAGTCACGGTGGAAAGCAGGATCTGAAAAAAAACCAGATACCAATGATCCTAGTTTGTTGTTTAGATATTTAACGATTTTTCTTCTGTTGTAATTTTTCCCTGTTAATTCAACCAAAACACACACAAAAAAAGTCTGTCACACATTTTCCCATAAACCAAAAAAGAGCAGAAAGATGATAAAATCTTATTTTGTCCACCCTTTATCAAAAGAACTAAATAACCTTTGCCAAGCAACTTACAGCAAAAATAAAGCATTAAAAAACATCATGTTCAATGAACTCAATAAAACTAAGGAAAATATCAACATATATATAAAGAGAAACATAAGGAAAAACCAACATGAACCTCTTCATATCAATACTTCCTAAATATACTAAGTTTAAATATTTAAATGAATTGACAAATATACTTATAACTTTTGAGATGTCCATGAGGCGAATTCCACAGTTTTACCCCAGTAACCAAAGGACACATCCGATTATGTGCAAATCAAAATGATATTTTCTCCTTCTGAACTAATTTTCTAAATGGAAAATGTGTGGTATTTTTTCCTGGTTAATTTTAAGTAGTGATGCACAATATTAAAAATTTCAACAGATACCTATTATTTTCTGCTTTGCATGACCGTTACCGATTCTGATACCGATAAGTTCATATTTAATAGAATCTTTGCATAGTCTGAGGCTTGTGGTGGATACAGCTATGAAAAAAAAAAATTTAGTAGCACTGACTTGTCTATAACAGAAAAAAAAAGAGGTTTTGGCTCTTCAAAATTTTTTTTGTGTCGTCACACAAAAAAGCAGTCTTTTGCTTTAATCAAAAGCAGAAAAAGACAATTCAATACAAACACAAAGAGCATCCCTTGAAAACTTATTACTGAACGAATCAATGGTTTAACTGTAGAAGTCTTTGTGAAATCCATTATTTTCAAATATAAGATTATATGCACTGTCACTTAGTAAAAAAAAAAAATGGAAGCAAAAGTCGATGAAAAGAGGCCATTAATCTGTGACTCCATGCGTGCCCATCTCACAGCTGATGTGAAAAACATGGTGAAACAAATTAACGCTGTGCTCGCTGTTCAACCGCTCGACATCGGTGTGAACCGGACCCAGCAGGTGCAGCAGAAGCAGCGAGTTTACATGCAAAGTCAATGGTTGACACGCGTATAGGCGCAGCAAAAGGTCCCGCAGCGCGTTTTGAGCAGCAGGCGCTGCGCGGGAGCGTTTAAGCATCTGCCAACGCGCTCCTGCTGATCGAGATGGAAAAATTGAAGTTTTGCTGCTGGACGCGACGCATCAACCAATCAGAGAAGCTGATCTGGGAGCTGACAGCGAGACAGACACATCGCTCTGATGACATATGATATTAACGCAAATGAAAAAGGCTGGATGGATGAGAAGATGATGAAAGCGTGGCTGAGGGAGGTGTATGTGAGGAAACCAGGTGGTTTTTTCCACGCATCACCATCGCTGTTAATCTGTGACTGCGTGCCCATCTCACAGCCGATGTGAAAAAAAAAGGTGAATCAAATGAACGCCGTTATCCCGGGGGGTCTGACAAAGGAACTTCAACCGCTCGACAACGGTGTGAAGCGGCCGTTCAAAGTAAGGCTGCGAGCGGCGTGGGAGCGATGGATGACCGACGGAGACCACAGTTTCAGGAAAAGTGGAAGGCAGCGGCGGGCGAATTACGCCACCGTTTGCGGATGGATTGTAGATGCTTGGACTAACGTGTCTGCTGGCTCTGTTGTTCGAGCTTTCGCAAAAGCAGGCATTATTTCTGAGGAGCCGCCCGGCACGGAAAGTGACTCTGACAGCGAAGAAGGGGAAATTGGCATGTCTGATTTAGCGCAGCTGTTTAATTCAGAAACAGAGGATGATGACTTTGATGGGTTTGATTAATACTTTGTAATAAATACATGAATCAAGCACAATCATACTCAGTTTTGCTCCCGCTCTATTTTTCTACCTGAAAACTTAATTCAACAGCAGCCTTTGGGCCGCGTCGCCTCCGGTTTCACCGCGGCTCCTGGCAGGTGTTTTTTTTAATCTAAATAATCTAAATCTTGCAGCTATATTTGCTGTGATCAGTGGGAATAAAGTAGTTTTAATATGTTTTTAAGTGAGAAAGTCCACCTGAAAACTTCATAATTGTAGTCAGTTCATCCAGATTATTATCCTGCCTATACTATTTCTGTCGGAGCCGCTCAGACCCCCACATACCAGCGGTGCACCGACAGTAGAAATCCTTTCAACAGCAGCCTCTGGGCCGGGTAGCCTCCGGGTTCACCGCGGTGGCTGGCAGGTGTTTTTCATCTAAATAATTTTAGCTGCAGGCACCAGGATACCGGTAATAAAAGCGAACATATTCCGTCGGCAGGTTTCAGGAGTTTAATTTAATTTAGAAGTGATCGCAGCGCTCTGTCATCTACGATGTGTCTGTCTCATGGCCAGCTCCCAGGTTTGATTAATACTTTGTAATAAATACATGAATAAAGCACAATCATACTCAGTTTAGCTCCCGCTGTATTTTTAAATTAGCAGTAGAGCTATTTAAAGGTAGTAGAGGATATGTACCTGTATATAAAAAAACGCGCCCTATAGTCCGGTGCGCCTTATGTGTGTGTTAAATACAGAAATGGCACACATAACTGAGACTGCGCCTTTTAGTACGGTGCGCCTTATGCGTGTGTTAAATACAGAAATGGCACACATAACTGAGACTGCGCCTTTTAGTACGGTGCGCCTTATGGTCGTGAAAATACGGTAGTGTATTCTTAAAAATGATGTGAATAATGAACAGTTGCTTGAATACATGAGGCTTTGTAGGCCTTGTGTATGTAGCTTTTTGAATGTTAAAAGCTTGATCAAACCACTGAGCCATTAAGCTTATCATGCTAACCTGACTAGCATCTGACATCCATACATCTGTGGTAAAACTTAAGTGCAGTCCGTTCTTATTGATCAAGTTGTGGATGCGTGTTGCGACTACCTCTCTAAGGGCAGGCAAAGATGTGTCCGATAAGAAGCGATGCATCAGGATGGTGTAACGTGGCTCCAAAAGTGCTATCGAATTACATAAACCCTGGTTCTCTATGACAGAAAGAGGCTGATTGTTGACTGCTATAAATTCCATCACTTTGTCGTTAATAGCTTTAGCACTATCACTTGAAAAGTTTTTACAGCTTTTAAAATCTTTCTGAATGAAGAAATCTGTCCTCCGTGTTGTTATCTTAGAACTGCTACCTGCCACCGCAGCTGCTTCGCACTCTATTAGCTCAATACTTAGTAATGAGCTATTAGGTTTGTTGTGTTAAAATCTGAAGCCTTCTTTTCTCCTCTTTGAATTCTTGCTGAACAAGTTTTGCAAACCGGAAAAAAAAAATAATAAAGTTTGTTCATTAACAGGTAATGAAGGAGCCACGCTTGGATCCTGCTAGTAAGGCAGCGCCAAACCCAGCTTTGGTGCTGCTCTGCCTGCATAAAATGATGCAAATTTGATCTATTTTCTATTTTTAAATCGAAAAACTTTACGAATCGTATAAAAAAAAAAAAATCCGCCAAATCAGCTGATATTTTATCGGTTTGATAAATAATGTGAATCACTAATTTTAACATCTTGCTTTACACTTAAGTGACAAAATCTTCAAGGTTTAATAAACTTACAAAAATAAAATACTTAAAAAATAATTTAAAAAATTATTTACTGGGGTGTTCTTGATTATCAACTGTGTGTATAATTCTCAAAACTCTCTTCTTTAATGTAAAGTAATTCTTTAATGTAAAGTTTTTTATATTCGACTGATATGTGTTCCCACAGACTCCTACACAGTAGTTTAAATATGGCACAATGATTGAAATATATTTTCTTTATTTCACAATTTAAAACTTCCTTCACTATTTCTAAAGCCATCAAGCAAACCCCCATTTTAGGACATAAAATATTTAGGGATTCATGTGAAACCAAATAAAAAGGACAACAGTTTTCTTATAAACACAAACAAAAACAAAAAATCATACCTCCCATTTCAACAATCAGCTTGATAGCGTCTTATGCTCAGATACTTCTGAAACAAATGCAGAGATATATTGTTAGTCTTACACTTGAAGTTTATTCAGCTACATGCACTTAATTTCAAAGAGTTGAAAACCAACAATATGACAATAACAATAATAGAAATGTAGATTTGTATTTTCCTTTTTCAGTGTTTTATTGTAATACTGTCATGAGTACAGAGCAATGAAATGAACTGCGAAATCTGCATTTAACCTATCCCCTTGGGGAGCAGTGGGCTGCCATTGTGCGGCACCCAGGGAGCAGTGTGGGGGTTGAGGGTCTTGCCCAAAGTGGTAGTCTGTGGAAGAGGGGCTTGAACTCAGAACCTCTGGATTCCAAGCCCAAGGCCCTAACCACTAGGCCGCCACTTCCTTATGTTGGTAAGGTGGCAAGTCTCCAATCTTGCAAACAGGGAGCCTGGGATCGTATTCCCCAGCTGAGGGGAATGAGCTGCCAGCATGGGTCCTTAGGCAAGACCCTTCACTCTAATGCCTGCTTTGGGAAGTAAAGGCCTAGTGGTTAGGGCGTTGAATTTGAAATCCTGAGTTCACGCCTACAGCCACTCTGGTCCCTGAGCAAGACCCTTAACCCCACACTGTTCCCAGGCGCCACAATGGCAGCCCATTGCAATAAAACGCAGGAAAAAAACTTTTTATTATACTTCATCCAATCATTAGTAAAAATGGGATGGTCCTTCCAAATTAATGTAAATTAAAAAAAAAGATCCACAAGAATATTGAGGATAATGAGATTTTCGAGTTTGAAGCAAGACTAAAAAGAAAAGCTGTGAGAATTCGGTGAAAAATAACCATTAGATGACATTTTTCAGGCGCATTTTGAAGTATCGCATTAGAAGAGCTTGATAGAAACAGCAAAATTCATATCAACTGACTAAAAATGTTAACACCCACTTGGTTTGTCTTTTGACTTAAAAGAAAATCATAAAGAAAATAAAGAATATGCTTTGTGGAGGAGATGAAAATTTGTTGAATAAGTTCCGATATAGCAAACATTAACCTTACTATTTCAAGCTGTCAGCTGAATGCAAGCATTGCACTCATCACTGGTTGGCTAATATTGACTGGCATGATAAAAGAAGTACAACTTGCCTGGTTGCAAAAGATTTATTAAAACATAGGCTATTTTCTGTTTATTACAGCCATGGCTAACATCAAACGTAGTACGATGTTATACTTTACATCGCCAGGTTAAATTGCTTCAATGGGTTCTGCAGGGCCGTCCAATTTTCTTCTTTTTGTGGCATTTTTAAAGATTACAGAAAATTTGCATGAATTTTATGGAAATAAGTGCAATAAAAGCAGGAACATGTTCCCATGCAATGCAGCATGTAGTATTTGCATAAAGTGCAGCTGGTGCTGAAACAATATTGCTGAAGGCCAATTTGATTTTCAGCAGGAATGTTTGTTTCAGGGTGATGATGGTCTTCACAGAATTAGGAAAGAAACTGTTCCGACTTTTTCTGATGCAATGTTCCTCAATCATTTTCTTTCCCCTGTTGGAAATCAGTAACTGTTTACTGGATACTCAGGTAGGATCTGCAACAATGAGCCTCACCTGGTGAAGCATTAACTAGCCCCCATGGTTTTGATGGGTGCTTTAAGGAGTCTATGGTTGTTCCTGTAGCACCGCTGTGTAAGACTTAGATCACCTTCTCTATAGTGGGTCTTCTTATTGGTAGATAGGAGACCCACCACAGTGGTGTCATTTGCAAACTTCACAACCATGATAATGGGGAGGATAGTCGGGTATCATGTGTAAAGAGAATGAAGCTGCAGGAATGAAAACGCAACCTTACTATGTGCCCATACTGAATTTGACCTCAGTTCAACATTTCTAATTTGTATTATTTCTCTATTTAACACCTCTGATATGCGGACCTCTGCTCTCCAGCCGGGACCCACACCAAATGGTTTTATGGAATATGGACCAGAAACCCCTTAACCACAGCTTTTGACGCTAAAGTTAGCTGCATGAATGAAGCAGCTTAACAAGGAAGCCTTTAACCCTTTTTATCATATGCGTTTATAAGTCACCGAAATTAAACTGCATGATTCAATATCATTATTCTAACGTTTTCTAATAATATACCTTACTTGTTTAAAATAATTAAATATCAGTGTGTGGTAATTTCACAAAACGACAATTTTGATGCTATGCTAAGAGCTAACCCTTTCTTAGAATCTGCCACAATAAGAGACCAACACCGCGAGCATTGGCAAATCACGGTTCACAATAATGTTTCGCAAGCAGACGTTAAGATAAGCATGGAAATAAAAATGCAACTCACCCTTTTATTCAACTGTTATATCAGAAAGTACAGACGGCGTATTTAACGATACCTCTTAACAAGAGGCTAATATATTAGCCCGTTAGCAAGCGACACCGCTGCAGAACGCTCTGCTTCTTCTTCGTTGGTTGGTTGGTGAACTGAAACGATGCGTTTTAAATAACACTGACACCTATCGTTCAACTGATTTTTTTTAGCGCCCTTTTAAATTTTACACACTTTTTTAAATCACAAACGTCAATGTATTTAAATTATACTGTATGCTATTAGATAAGATACAGAACATAACTTTTCTTCCCAGAAAGTTTTTAAATAAAAAATCTGATTGAGACTCTGTTTAACCAACTACCTTCAGTACACATCTAAATGGTAAATACAGTAGAGGTTCTAGACCAGATTTACCAGGAGGTTAGGGAGGGGTGGTTTTTTTGTTTTGTTTGTTTGAATGAAACAAAAACAGGGCAAAAGTTCATAATTGATGTATTAAGTAACACAGAGAGCCATTTGTAGCTCTGGAATCCTCATGTGTTGTAGAAAATAAACTGTGATCCTTACTCAATATGACTAAATGTAAAAGTGCATTATAAATAAATAAAATTGTAAAGGTAAAAAAAAAATAAAAATAGTCAAAGACAAGAGACGTATCAGTGGTGGCTGTTCTAATGCATCTCAATTTATTTATCATACATTTTTTTCTGTATTACGTATTTGTTACAGGGGCCATAACAGGAGTCAAGACCAGTTATACAGAGGCACTGGTCCCTGGTAGTAGTGGCAGCATCATACCATGTTTCTTTCTTTTTAGTTTGCAGGAATAACAACGAAGCAAATCCTTATTAATAGGAAAATAATTAAAGCTTTATACAGGTCAATTGAGGAAGAAAAATCTTTTAAGGCTGCAAAAGAGCTAAGACTAGTAGGGATGTTCATTGTGATATATAACTATCATGCTTCTGTTTCTTTGGCTGTGTTTTTTTTAAGAAAAGATATTTGATTAAAAAAAAAAAAAATATTTCCAAACTTTGCTTTAATTTTTCCTTCTTGGCCACTTATATGCACTTGTATAATGCTGTACTCTAAAGTCCATTAGTAAATTAAAGGGTCTCGCCAAAACATAAATGTTGACTTAAAGTAGCTTTTCAAACCATATTTAAAGCAATGTGTCATTTAAAGCCTATCTATTGTTTTTACGAGTCTATTCTTTCATTCAAATAATGAAGTAGAATAAGACCACCTTGTAGAGATTTTCTTCTCTGACACATTTGGTATTACATTTTGTCGGGTGAAAATAAGTGCATTTTCTCCCTTGAATCATCAGTCTTTCTTTCATGTCAAGCTGACATTTGAAAGCAGAGTATGGAAGTCTGACTTTGATGGACCATTTTACAGCCTAAATTTCTCCTCAAAAAGAACATAACTGCAAGCTAGAAACACACAAAAAGCAAAAACAGGGAAGAAATTGATTGTAATGAACTAAAAATGCTCTTAAGGGTATTAGCACATTCTCCAGTTGGTAGATGTTTTAACTTTAATATTTCTAAAAAAAAAAGTCAAGAAACCTCTTTTTTAGAGCAAGCTGCTCAAAATGATAAACTAGTTTAAATAATCTGTGATGAACATATAATCAGACTCCTTTTTTTACTTTCTAATTTTTTTTTTAATATATATTCTTTGGTTGCCCCTTACAGACCTAAATATTCCTACAATGGGACAATAAAGGAAACTTCTATACTATATTATCAAATATAAACTATCATTTTAAGTTTCACTGTCTGTTTATATTATACTTTTTGCTTTTCCAAATCAGATTTTTTGAAAAAACTCTTTTTCTAAATAGAACTACAAAGACATAAAAATACATATTTAATTTAAAGAATCTGTACTTACTGAAGAACTATTCAGTTTATGCCAGCTTTCTAAATCCATAAGATTTTAAACCAACGTTTTTATGACCTTTATCCAGAAATATGACATAATTTTCTTAGCGTGCACCCACCAGTAGGTCACCCAATTTCCATAAACTGCATTATTGGGGGCTGTGGGTAATAATTACATGAATGGAGATTTGTGTAGGCACATTTAATGTGCGTATATATGTTTATATGTACAAAAATAATTTATTTGCTCACTTATGGGACTTTTAGAGTATTGGGACTCAGAAGTTAAATAGGAATCTGGAAGATATTTGATTATATATATGTCATTAATAATTTTACATATGGTTGCATTGCTAAAATGTATTTTTTGCTTGATTATCTAAAAGAAAGTAATTTATTCAAAGAAAAAAAGACTAAATACCAAAAACTCCTTCAGCACTCAGCTGACAACTTCCTGAATATAAGCAATGACTTATATTAATCACCAAAGAAAGAGAAAAAAAGTTAAGGTACCCAAAAAAACCATTTGACATAATATGGCGCACAATCTGACCAGTAACTGCTCTCAATTTGCAAGGAGATGGCATATCTGTAATAAACACTGAAGTGCCTGAGTGCTGGCATAAGGACTTGAATGTGAAGGCAGTTACATGTTGTGTCATCTTGTTCCTAGTAGTGAGAGGTACATCAAAAGACAGCTGCAGAAGTATTTCAAGTATCTGACAGCCCCTTAAATCAGTTAGTTAAGGTGATCCTGCAAAAAAAGGATGTCCGGTTAAGACAGAAGATAGTATTACAGGCACCTGACAGGGATTGATAGTGCTGGCATTTTGGGAGATGAAGGGCTGGGTGGTTGTATAAGGCAATATTCTGGCAGGTTTGACTGACTCTCTACGACACGGTGCAGGATGACATATGTGTCTGCCCTCACGTATTCTCTGGCTCTGATATCAGGCTACTGTCACGTGTGCATCCCACATACCGTACAATTCTACTACATGCCCCAGTAATAAGCACATTTAACCTGGTGATCATAGATCATTTGACTGCTTGCTGACTGTTTAAGCTTCCTGATAATACACGACTTGTGGTATCATGACCTATGACTTCTAATATCTGATATATAGATAGTGCAAACTTGTGACTAAAATCAACAACATGCCATGTGCCAAATTACATTAAATTACATTAGACGCCTCTCCTTGGTACCTAACTTTGTCCTTAACAGTTCTTTCTCTGACAGTTTATGTTGAAATAAAATATTTATTTTGTTTGAAAGCTTTCGTGGAAATGTTGTGGTCAATTGTAAGAGGTAAGTATGTATATTAATAAATCAAATCAAATTTCCTCTTTTAGGCGTCAAATGTTAATACGTAAAACATTAAGTGGCCGGGAGAAAATATGTCAATCGAATTTAATTCAACATGAGATAAAGTACTTTGAAAAAGTGTTGGCTTCCTAGCTTATTTCTTATATAAAACTAATTTGATTATGACCTAAAAACAACATATTTAAACACAAAATGCAGCTTTTAAATGAAGGTTTTTGTAATTTTAGAATAAAAAAAAAAATCCAAACCTATACTGACCAGCCTGAAAAGTGATTCCCTCCTGAACCTGAACACCTTTAGACCTTTAGTAACATCAACTCCTATCAAGCGTTTACAAAAGCTTGGAATGAGTCTTTAATTGGTGCTGTGGAAGGATCTTGATCCTCTCATCTTTGCAGAATCTTTATAATTTAGGCACACTGAGGGGTTTTCAAGCATTAATTGTCTTTTTACGGTCAATCCACTGCATTACAGTAGAATTTACAGCAGGACTTTGACTAGGCCTTTTCAAAGTCTTTATTTGATTTTTATTCAGCTATAGTTGACTTGCTATGGTGTTTTGAGCTGTTATCCTGCTGCAGAATCCAAGTTTGTTTCATAGATCACAGAGAGATGCCTGGATATCCCTGTTCAGTATCTCAAATGTAGACAAAAAATGTCTAAAAATGTATGGTTCCATTTTTCACAGTAAGTTTTCCTGCTCCTGAAGCATTAAAACTACCACATACCATCAAGCCACCAATATATTTTATCATGTATGTTTTTTTCTTCCTAAAATGCATTGTTGCTATTATGTATTTGGTTATTATACATTTTTTGTTGTTTTTTTAATAAAAATGGTTTCTTCATAGAATGGTTTATTCATTGTGTGTAGACCAATTAAACCCATATCACATCAGTGTGATGTACTTCCAAATGCTAGTTAATATTCACCCTCACTAAGCCTTCAAGATGTGCTCTTATCTCTATTTTTAATAAAATGAGCAATAAACAGGACCATTTGTTATTAACCAGGTACTTCATTTTAATGCTTTGATCTATAAGGCTGAACTCATGACACTCAACTTGACCCTAAAACGATATAACTTGGAAAACATCTGCCAGCGTTTTAGTGATTACATAAGAACATCGGTAAGTCAACAAACTAGGTTATTGCTCAACAGGGAGAAAACACCACCAACGACCCCTTGGAAGGGTGTAGGTGGGCGGGCAGAAACTGTTTGTATGCTTCCTGTTCAAAGGCACCATTGTGAATAAGTGTGACTCTGTGGAAAAAGCGAGTAATGACGTTTCTGTAGAGCTCTGGCCATGGATCTGTGACATCTACCTCTCCCGGAAAAGTGAAACACAACAAAGAGAAAGATGAGTGCAGCTCGTTCGTGAGCAAACTTGCATATTGCTCTTATTTAATAAAAAAATACAAGACGCAGTATGTTCAGGGACTTGTCTATTATGTAAATTGTTATAATCGTATATTTATAATTGTATATAATCAGTGTTTAAATTCAGTTTCAAATAATTAACTCCCAACAAAAATGATAAGATTCTGTATGCTATGCTTATTCTACCACTGATAGTGAGATAATATGGAAATGACCATAAAGTCTTATTACCCCAAATAAGGAAACGTGTCATGTGTTATGAACTGACATACAGTTGGTTTTCAGTTTATACGTCTACAAAGCTATATATAGCTATATTTCTTGGAGGGTTCCAGTAAATTGCATTGAGCTGACACTCATATCATGTATACCACATCATGAACATCTCAGCAGGCTAAATACTTTTGCTCATATAGTGTATGTGTAACAAAGTATGTTTAATAGGAATTCTGTTATATGGAAACAAATAGAAAAACTCACAATATAAAGGGAAAATGTAGAAAAAACAAAAACAAAAAAAATTACATTTACATTAGATGACACAACCAC